TCCTTAAAGACTGATGAAATTCAGAGCAGAGGCCATGAGAGTACCAAGGTGTTCTGGGAGGAGGGCTGAGGCCAGGGATGGAGGAGGCACCCTAACAATGCCACTCCAGGCAGGTGCAGATGTCTACCCCACCCTGGGCCTGGAGCATGCAGTTCTGGAGGGAACCCCAGGCAAGAGAACAGCTAGCTGTTCAAGGAGTATGCCAACCAAAATGGGCATAAGTACTGGCCAGCTATGACAAGAAATAGCCTTTCCCTCACCCTCATTGGCTACTGGACAGCTACAAATGGAACAGCAGAGGCAACAAAACTTGAATTTGCTTGAGACAATGCCTACTCTTTCTGCGTGATGTGTGTTCTGATGACCCCTCCTCTCTCTCTCTCTCTCTCTCTCTCTCTCTCTCTCTCTCTCTCTCTCTCTCTCTCTCTCTCTCTCTCTCTGACTTCTCCCCAGCATTAGTTGTCTCTTCTTTTTCCCTTGTCGTTTGTTTCTTCTTGAGCACATTTGATTCCGGGTCCACAGGTGAGATGCAGTTGGTAAACTAGAATGGACAATTGAGAAGTGAGCTGTGTCCGCAGATCCCAGATAGATGAGGCCCTTTCATCTCGTTCACTCCACACCAACCTGACTCCTTTCATAGATGCAAAGTTCTTTCTCTTCTCTGCTTTTCACTTTCTTTTTTATAAATAACAATCTCCATTGAGATCTAGATTGACAGAAGTTACTTTGCAAGATGTTCTGATCGTTTGAGTCACCTCGGGGCTGTTGGGATTTACTCCCCAGCTCCTAGATTCCATGGATCCCAGGGTAGACCTGGAAGACAGATGCACCTAGGTCAGTCATCCCAATGAGTAGGCAGTCAAGTATTCAGATGTAACCTAGTTACCTAGTTATTACAAAAACTAAAACAAACTAAAGTCTGTGATATTTGAATGGAAAATACTTTTGCTGAAGACAAACAGGTGGTGGCATTGGGGAGGGACATTATGCTCACAATCTCATGCCTGCAGTTTCTGTCCCTTATGCATCCTTGGGAAAGATCTGAGGCTGTGATGATGAAGACTGGCTCTGTCACACAGCAAGTGAGAGACGCTTTTGGGCTGGGACCTTCCTACAATGGTTTGACTTCCTTTGAGGGGTTCAGTCCCTCCCAAAGGCCAGCACCACCCTCATATGAGGGGAAGCAGAAGGAGCTACTGTGTGAATGCTAGCCTTCTCTTCCTCCTTCTCTAGTAGGAGAAAGAGGGTTACGGGTTTGTGGGGAGAGTGAGTCATCTCTGGCATTCACTGTCATTTGATCCACTGTGGGTGGGGTGCAACTTTGCAGGTTTGCACAAGGTAGCAGTCACTTCCCTGCCCTCTTGCTAGCAAGGCAACTCAGGAGCCTGCCGGGGGCCCAGGTGGCTTGGAAGAGTTCTCGGAAGCCCTCCTCAGCAGCAGGACTCTGGGAGGCCAAGTTGGCTGCTTGCAAACTGCCTGAGCCATCCTGCTCTTTCAGGGCTCTTTGCTGCTCTGTGTGGGGCCTGTGGTTTAGCATTTCCTTCCTTTCCAGCTACAGCCCCAACAGCCCCAACCTGGCTGTTAGAGATATTGGTGAGAAATGCCACAGCACAGAGTGGGGGACATTTCTTTAAGAGTCAAAGCATGTGAGAGCCAGTCAAAGCCCTGCTAAGCTCTGTGGGATGCGAGCATGGGTTCTGGCTCAGCTCCACCTTCCTCAGGCCCTTGCTGAAATGGAACCTAATTGCTGAGGGCTGGTAGTTTTAAATTGCAACACCACTGTCCTCCTGTCCAAGCTCCTACCACCATCGCATGAACATACGTGGTATTTTCTTTCTTTGAATATTACTTCCTTAAGTATTCATTGTTATCTAAGTAATATCACGCACCTTAATCCCAACCCCCAGGACACTGATACAGGACAATTTCAAATTTCAGGCCAGCCTGGACTACACAGTGGGACCCTTTCTCAAATAAACATTCATTCTCTCTCTCCCTCTGTCTCTCTGACTCTCTCTCTCTCTCTCATGCACACTTGTTCTTGCTTTTTTCTCTTATTTTTGTGTGTATGCATATACATGTAGATGTGTGTGTGTGTGTGTGTGTGTGTGTGGTGTGTGTGTGTGTGTGTGTGTAAAGATAAGAAGCAGGTCTCAGAGGCAGAGGCAGGCGGATCTCTGTGAGTTCGAGGCCGGGCTGGACCGACAGCCTCCAAAAAAATACAGAGAAACTCTGTCTCGTAAAGCCAAAAAGAAAAAAGAAGCAGGTCTCTCATTTCTATCTAGGGCCTTAGCTGGCTACCCAGTGAACCCCAGGGCTCTGCCTGCCTTTGCCTCCCCAGTGTTGGGATGAGTGCACAGTACCATCCCTAGCTTTGATGTGGGTGGTGAGGATCAATTGAACACACACCTCGGGTCCCCACACTTTGCACAGCAAGCACTTTGCTGATTGAGCCATCTCCCCAGTCCCCTCATCTGCTTCTCTCCACAACCTATGACGTTCAAGAGCAGAGTTGCTTTCAATGCTGGGTGCCCAGCAGAGTTCTTGGCCCTTAGAAGGCCCTTCAAGCATGCTCCTAGATAAGCAGGTGGCAGAAGAGGAATGGCTGCTGTAGCCATCACCACCTATCCTGGTGGGATGCAGGACATACTCTCCTCTGACTGTCTTGTAGGAGATTTAGCATGCCTGCTGTCTGTTCTAAACAACCACTGCCGGCCAGGTTTCATGTGACAATAGTCATGTCACAAATGTCCTGATGCTGTGTTTAGAGAGAACTAGGAAGTGCTCCCCACCCCCACCTCTAGACCAGTGGTTCTCAGTCTTCCTAATGTTGCCACCCTTTAATTCAGTTCCCCATGTTGGGCTGACCCCCAACCATGAAATTATTTGTGTTGCTGCTTCATAACTGTAATTTTCTACTGCTAAGAATCATAATGTGAATGTCCAATATGCAGGATATCTGATATACCACCCCTGTGAAAAGGCCATTTGACTTCCCAAAGGGATGAGACCCACAGGTTGAGAACCTCTGTTCCAGATGGTAATTGCAGTCCAAAGCTCCAACAATGACGTTATTATGGGGGGCTTACCATTGCCTTATTTGCCTGTACTCTTGAGTCTTTAGGCTTCTCACGTTCATCTGCCCTGTCACTCCTATGAGTAGGAGGGTACTGAGAAGCGAGTAGGGAGCCCCTGGGAGTGAAGGAGGGATAAAAACATTAGGGCTGTTAAGGACCACCTTTGATAATCTAGCAAGTTTGTACTAGACCAACTCATCTGCATCACCGTGACAAAACACCTGAGTAAAACAACTTAAAGGAAGGATTGATTTTGGCTCGCGGCTTCAGAAGTTCAGAGCATGCTCTTTGGCCCTGGGGCTTTTGGGCCCGAGGTGAGGCAACGAATCAGCACGGAAGGGTGTGGAAGCACAGAGCCAACCATTCCCTTCCTGGTAGCCAGAATGCAGAAAGAGACGGGAGAAAACCCTAGGTCTAAAGTACTCTTCAGGTTCCTGCCTCTAGAAACCAACGCCTTCCAACCCGGATGTCGCTTTCTGAAGTTCCACCTCCTCCCGACAGCCTACTCAAAATCCGCATGCGCAAGTGTGTACGCACAAATGGCAACAGCCCCCAGTGGCCTGAAGAGTCCCCGTTATCCTTCAGGGACCTCCAATCAGCAGAAGCCCATCTCTGACTTCACTGCAGAAAAGAGTTTCAGGATAAGTCAGTGTGAAGCAGAGTTGAGGTTTATTATAAAATAAAAGAATGTTTAACACAGATTGAAACACAGAGGTTGTTAGAAGGAGATGACCTCAGAGGGAGAAGACACACAGAGAAGGTGGGCATGGCCTTCTTCAAGGACAGTCACCCTTATGTGTCTTAGCAGTCCTCATATAATCCACTCAGTGTCTTCCCAAGTTACAGCTCACATGATTACTAAGAGCAGATGGGCTGGGGTGTGGGGAGGGGGCCTGTCTCTAGTGAGATTCCTGGAAAGCTGTAGGTTTTCGGTTGGGATAGTAGGAAGGTCATGTACACAAATGTCTTAAGCATGTTTTGTTGCTATTTTAATATTCTTATTAAAATATCTTTCTATAAAATGTCTCTGAAGGCACAGCTGTTGTAGAAAATGTTGTTAACTGTGCTGGAGTTCTTGACTTTAAATTGGTGAGAGTCTCTAAGCAGATCCTGGGAGGGGCTCCTGTCCTATGTCTCCATAATTTGCCCATTTTTCTGTCCTACCTCAAATGAATTGAACACACCCCCAAACCACCACCTCTCCATTCCCCCACCCCCGTGCACGCTTAAGTCAGAGCACTCACAATATGTTCATCTCTGGAAATAGTTTCACAGACAACCGGGTGTGTCTTAGGGGGTCTCTCAATCCAATTAAATTGATTTGCAAGATTGACCATCATACCATGTCACTAAGCAGATTCAAAGAGGGACGATGGTGGGGGGGAGATAACAGGATGAATATTAGCCTATCGGAGTTTGTAATAAGAAATACACATGGGCCTCTGGGTCTAGCATGTGATTTGATCACGTCTGTGAGGAAGATGTCCGCAAAGGAATGAACAAGCAAGACTCAAGCGACCACACTCTATGAATGACAAAACAGCTCCATTGTGCAGATCCTAGGGCTTCAGACCTTCAGAGCAGGGAGGCAGCAGGTGTGAGCTGACCAGTTTTTAAGGAGAGCTCAGAGCCAGATTTTGAAGGTTCAATAGACATAAGTCAGCAGATGGCAGAAGTCTTTGTGGGAGCAGGATAAGTGATCAGCACTGGGTCAGGTCCTGAGGAAAGAGGAGACAGTTCTAGATAGGTGGGAGCAAGAAATGGAGTTGAAGGTGTAAGGGTGGCTTGGGGAGGATGGACACAAAAAGAAGATTAGCCATGTTTGGTCTGTGCGCTTGGAAGTCACGTGGATCAGAGAGCAGTGGGGAGGTGGTGGCCTGGAGGAGATTGCTTTGTCTCTTCATGTGTGTCTTTATCTTGCAGAATTCTCAGTAAGTTAAGTCAAGATATCAACAAGAATGAAGAGAGAAGGAGCATTTTTACCCGCAAGTGAGTGGGCACTGCTACAAGGGAACTCAAGAATTAAAATCCCAAGCTGAGCCTTTAAAAGACTCTGTAGCACTGGTTTTGACCCTGCTTCTTCACCAGTGATGGTCCCCTCTGCCCCAGGGGTCATGAAGAGGGTACCTCGGGAGGGGAGGGAATTCCTTCTCCCTGATGAACATTTTGCACTTGAGTCTAGGACATCAGGGAAATATTCTCTAGATCATTAAAGAGTCACAAGCTCCCGGCTAGTAACATCAGTGTGGCTTTAGTGGTCTCCAGAAGCTGAGGGACAGCTCAACTCTAGTTGCTAAGCAACAAGGGGAGAAGTCTTGGGCAGGGAGACATAATCCTGATTGGTGCAGAGGGATAGACCGTGGAAAGGAGAGACCCTCAGATAGACAGGCTACTGAGTTGTTGTTGTTTGCCTTTGCAGACCCCAGGTTCAGCGATTTCCAGAGGAAACAGGTAAGGGCACCAGGGCTGAGATATGTGCTTTAGGAGGTGCTGTGTGCTCCAGTTCTGGGACCTGACTAATTAACTTATCAGCCAGGTCTTCATCATAAGAGAGCTTGGGTTCCCACTGAGAGGAGGAAGGGTGTCACTCTAGAGCTACACTGCAGAACTCTACCTCTTGTGAGAGAGCCTAGACTCAGCTGTGGGCATCTGAGCAGTTTTCCATTGTTCAATAGTACAAAACATCTACATTTGGGTTCCTGAACCCCACTCGGTCATGTTGATTAAGAAACTCCATGAATAAGGCCCCAGGTCTTACTCTATGAAAGCAATCCTGGGTAACTTTTATATACATACAAGGAAGATTAGGTACCACTGCCACTCCCTGGTAGAAATCAGATAAAAATGATATAACCAGTAGTGAGTTGCTCTCTTGGTATGTTTTCTTTTGCTGTAACACTGCTCCTAAAGCTAGTTACTTTATGAAGGAAAGCTGTTTATTGATTTCAAAGTTCTAGAGGTCCAAGAGCATGGTGCTGCTGTCAATTCAACTTCTGGATAATTTCAACTTCATTACAAATAGTATCGTGTAGGAAAACATGAGACGAGTAAGGGGCATGTGTAGAAGTGATCAAAATACCATGAGTATGCTTATAACAAGTAATCTAGTCTCAAGGCTCAGATGATCCCTGTGATGCTCACTCTAGTCTGGAGAGACCCAATTAGTCTCTGGAGAAAGATGTTGATCCATTCATGGAGGAAGTTATCAATCCATTTGTGAGGACCCTGTGACTTAATTATCTCTTAAAGATCCCACTGCCTCTCGGTACCATCATATTAGGATAAACATGAGTTCTGCTGGGGTGAATTGTACTCAATACAACAGTTTCTGGCCCTGAGCATGAAGAAGGAAGGATAAGGACTTGTGATGGACACTGGGAGGGAAAACTGCTCTGACTTTGTGCTGTGTGTTGATGGTGGTGTTATTTCCTTCACAGAAAGTCTTGAAGAAGACAATGGCGGCTGGTCATCCTTTGTGAGTATGACTTTGGGTAAATCACCGATAGTGATGGCCAGAATGGCTCTACATTGGTCACAATGCTGAAAAAGGAGCAAGCCCCCTCCACCACCAAGACATTGAAATATCCCAAGCCCCAGAAAGGGCCAGGCAGTAAATATTTCCAGCTTTGGAAGACCAAAGGTTTCCCTCTACTGCGTATCTCTGTCCCCATGACAAAAAAAAAGCAGTCAGGGGCAATGAGCAAACGAGTGGGCTCAGCTGTGACAATAAAGCTTCCTTGAAGAATACAGAGGTGGGTTTGTAACTTGCTGGCCACACCTTTGCTCTCCACTACCATGCCCAACAGTAACCCTTCCCTTCTTCGTCTATCTTTCCTAGAAATCTATGCTACTATAATTTTTCTTCTCATTGACTTAAGTCACCACTGGTGACATAGAGGGGAAAGCATTCTATAATGAAGTGTTAGCACTGGAAAGGTCCCCACACCAGTTTTACATTAGAAGGGTCATGGTGACAACAACCTTCCAGAGTCTGATGGATTGTGCGTTCCCTCTCCTCAAACCACACATTGTCACCATGCATGAAGCCAAGTGAGGGCTAAAACTCTACGATGGAAGAGAAAGCCAGGGGTCTGCTGGGAGGTGTGCCTTGTGCAAAGCCCTTAGCCAGGTAGAGGCAAATCTGGGGCCCAGGCTACCCAACCCTCAGTCTATGTGGTCTTTCTGGTTAAGTGACCATCTCTAGGTCTTTTAAAATGTATTCATGGAGAGAGTGCCCCTTGTCTTATTGGGATTCTAGCAAATAAAAGCATTTCATTAGAAAGAAAATGACCTCTGGTAGAGTATAGTTTCTATGGGAAAACGAAGGAATGCAGGAGATTTATTTTGTACAAAAGAGTCGTTTTCCCCAGATGTGTTAGTGCTTCAGCATGACAGCTGGATCCCTGCCAATGTTTGTCTTGAGCCCTCCTGTGCTCAGCCAGTGGTTAGTCCTCAATCCTGTCCCCAAAGCATAGATTTCCAGTCTTGGAGGCCACCACACTTTGTAGTTGCCTTCTGTGAGAGTTCTGCTGAGAGGATGCTGGGATCCCGGGCAGAGATCTCACAGAATCCATACTGTAAAATGTCGTCCTGTGACATCTGTACTAGCTGTGCGTCCCTCCACTATGCTGGCAGGAAGAAGATGATTATGAAAGTCCCAATGATGATGATCCAGAAGGGGAGGATGACGGTGATTATGAGTCCCCTAATGAGGAGGAAGAGGTGCAGGTAGATGATACAGCTGAATATGAGCCTCCACCCTCCAATGATGAGGAGGCTCTGCAGAACTCCATCCTGCCCGCCAAGCCTTTCCCCAACACCAACTCCATGTACATCGGTAAGAGTCTCTTTGCAGCCTGCTGGCTTTAGCAGCCCTAGTACAAGGTGCCCATTGAACCTCTCTGGGTGCTGATTCCTGCTCAGCTTCTGGAAAGATTTGTGGCCATTTCCTCATGAGAGAAACAGGCTAGTGATAGACAGAGGATATAGGCTTTTGGAAGCAGGGCAGCTGTGTGGCACTGCCATCTATAGACTATCACAATAATGTGATGATATCCAGAGGGGTTGGTTCCGCCTTTACAAATGAGACAGTCTTTAGGATGTTCCTTGTCTACCTGTTTCTGTACACCCACATATCCTTCCTCATTCGTTAATTCACGAAGTCACAAATGTTACTCACTTCCTGCTGTGAGCCAGACAGCATGTGCTAGAAGCTACCAGGAAGGAAGATGCCCATTTGTCATGTGGGGTTACTTTCTAGTAGAGGAGATGACAGAAAACAGACATAGGCACACTTGGCTTCCTCTGCACTCAGGGAGCAATGTGTCTAACCCTTGGGGCTGTGTTGTACTCTGCTTCAGACTCCACCCCATCACCTCACTGTATGCACTGAAGGACAGAACACCAAAGCTAACAGGCAGGGAACTTCAAACATCATCAAGGCTGTTCCAGACTTAGGAGAGTGGGACAGAAAAGGGAATCCAGGTTGGTGAGTGTTTCTGGGTGTCTGTTGCAAAGACACAGAGTGAGCAAGACAGATCTCATCCTCCAGCACTCTGCCTACTGGGTGAAGCAACATTTCATCAAGCCAGCATGATAAATGGATTTGCTTCTGTGATATTTGAGTGATAGTCTTTGACCGATAATTGAGAATGAGTAAGAGTTGGTTAAATGCAGCTGAGTGGGGTAAGGGAGGACCATTTGAAGTGGCTGAGATTGCTGCACAAAGGATCTGAGGTCCAAAGGAACATGACACATCAGAGGAGCTGAAAGGTGGCCTGCGGTGTGAAGACCAGGCTTGCCCTGGCTTTTAGCCTATTTCTTCTGGAAGGGGAATGACATTCTTCCTAGGGTTAACAGAAGGATGCTTTTCTCAACCCCAAGTTCCAGACTCCTTCCACAAACCTCCTAGAACTAACATAGTATGTTCGTTAGGGTTTCTATAGGTGTGAAAAAGTGCCAGGCCAAAAGCACAAGACACTAGGAAAGCACTTTCTGCTCATACCTCACAGCTCCACTCTGGCCTCCTCCAGCCAAAGGGGTGAGAAACCCAAACTTGTCGAGCTGGTCTCAGGTGGTTCTGTGAGAGGCTAAGGTGAGGTCCATGTGCTATTTAACTTGGTAACAGAGCTGGGGGGCCAGCTCCTCCACTTAAGGGAGGAGACAGGCGAAAGGAGGAAGTAGGAGGGTGAGGCAGCCCAGAATATTTGTGAAGGGAAGGAAGCAACAGAACAAGGGGCCCATGAGGGGTAGTAGCTAATGTAACACTGATAAGCACATTTGTATGCAGTGTGAGCATATGTCTGCAGGCAGGCACACATGTGTCTCTGTGCATGCATAAACGTCAGCATACACACGTCTCTAGGTATACATGTGTGCACATGCATATGAACATATACACTTTATGTGCATATATATGTATATATTATATGCATGTAGCCTCATTGTTCATGCATGTATACACGTGTACATCTGCACATGTAGAATTGTATCTGAAAACTCTCACCGGGGTAATTCTGTAGAGGCTTCCTTTTAGGCAGTATCTCAGTTATCACCTGATGGTGGGAGATATGATGAGAATTATCCCCATGTATATGAAGAATCAAACCCACTTGAGCAGGAAGAGGGGCAGACAGGAGTCAAGGACTTCCGGCCTCCTGAAGGACGCAGGCTGGGTCTCACTATGGCTCCGACTCCCTCTGGCGCTAGTGGAAGTCTGGGGGACAAGGACTGGGTGCTCTTGGCACCTCAAGCTGCATGGACAGGCACAGGGTATTCCAAGAGAACCCCGCACTTAGACAACACTCACTTCAAACTTTAATTTCTTCTTTCATTTGCATATTGTGTTCCACAGATCGGCCTCCCACCAGCAAGGTCTCCCAGCAGCCTCCGGTGCCCCCACAGAGACCAATGGCCGCCCTCCCTCCCCTGCCAACAGGCCGGAATCACTCGGTAAGCAGCCTCCCTTTCTTCCGGGCTACTTTGTATCCATATCAATTCTTTCTTTAGCCAACAGAAAAGGAACTAAGCAACTTTACCTGATTCTAAGTTTATAAGAAACGGTTATGCCAGGGAAGATGCACACCCACACGCTCCACTCAGCGGTTCGACTTTGTGAAATATAAGCAGTTTCTATGTATGTCATAATGTTTACTGGCATTGTCTGGTACCATAAACAACATGAACTGAGCGTTTAATGAAGGACTCCTCTTCCAATGTTCATCTGTTTAACTGTGGCGAAGTCTGGTCCCACAAGTCCTGGGGTTGCCAAGGTTCCCAGTCTATGTCTATCTCCTGCAAGAAGTATTGCGCCACCTGCTGGCCAGATACCAAAATGTCAGGGATGAATGCCTTCAGACAAAATTTCCAAAGCAGTGAAGCCCAGGAGAAACATAGATAGCAAGCCCTCCTTTCCTTTCAGCATTCAGTCCATCTTCTATGGAGTTCACACAAAGCTAAAGGAGTCTAAAGAAGTCAGTATCCGGCGATGTGTTCTTTCCCCAAGTGTCCAGGGCATGTTAACAACTGTGGCAAGGGCCAAGTGTCAGGACCCGAAGGGAAGATTAGGGTGGGAGGAGGGTCTTGGCAAACACGGAGACCTCACAGTAGGGAAGACCTCCTTCTTATATTTGGCCCCCTCCTGCCGGCATAGCTCCTCTGCAAAGGGCCTTCATAGAACTCCATGTGTCTACACAGGCGTTTTGTTTTTTGAAGTCTGGAGAATTTCTCCTCCACCACTGGGAGGCAGAATTTGCCCATCACACTGATAGATACTGATTAGGCAGCTACTACACACCAGTGTTCTCTGTGCCAGGGGAAGAATAGGAATCGCACAAAATGCCCTGACTTCCATGAAGTACAAATGATTTGTAGATGTAGTTAGGAAGGCAGAGAGCAGGCAGCGTGACCGAGGGTACCAAAGCGACACTGAGCTGGCACAGGACAAGTCACTCATGTGGAAAGCAGAGCGAACAGCCCACGCAGGGGAAATACAGCCACAGAGATGTTCAAGAGTCTGTATGGGCTTCGGGTTTTGTGAGAACTGTAAGGAGATCCTTACGTGGGGATCCTGCAAGCATCCGAGAAGGACATAAAAAATTTCTCGGAAAGGCAGGCAGGAGCATCCCATGTAGGGCTTCACATGGGGCTTGGGTTTCATTTCCGATGTGATCAGTGCCCCTGGGGGACCTGCAGGAGTTTCTACTTTGCTTCGCAGAAGGCCCTTGGCATGAGAGAGTGAGGAAGCTCAGAGAGGAGGTGACCTTAGCAGCTCCGTTGACCGAGGGGATAGTGAGCTGCAGGTGAAGAAAGGGGAGCAGATCCAGACAGATTTCTGGAGACAACGCCACCAAGTCTTACGGAAGCATATGTGGAAAGGCTTCCAAATATTTGATTTTTTTGTTTGTTTTTCGAGACAGGGTTTCTCTGTATTGTTTTGGAGGCTGTCAGTCCAGCCTGGCCTCAAACTCACAGAGATCTGCTTGCCTCTGCCTCCCGAGTGCTGGGATTAAAGGTGTGCGCCACCACCGCACAGCTTTGAATTTTTTTTAATTTCATGCAGCCACTATCTCCACCCCATCCCAACCACGAAGAACCCAGCAGAAGTCGAAACCACAAGCCAGCAAAGTGTAAGCATGCTGTTGCTTTCTGACCCCCCCTTCCCCAGCCAGTAGCTTTCTTCTTTTAACTGACCTCAGCTCTCTGCACTCCAGTGCCTCCTCCATCGATAGACAGAAGCACGAAACCTCCCCTCGACCGCTCATTGGCGCCTCTTGACCGAGAGCCCTTCACATTAGGTTGGTATTATTCATATTTTATGCATACTAATAATGGCTACTTTTACAGGGCACTAAGTGCACTCTTTTAGACGCAACATCACATTTTACTACTGCAGTGTTATGAGAATCATCCTCATTTTACAGGGGAAGAAACTGAGGCACAAGACAGTAACTTTCCAACATCTCTCAGCAACCAAATAAAGAAGATAGAGCCCTAACCCCAGATCAGCCTGATTCCAGATCCCTTGCTCTTAGACCCTGGGCTGTGCCTGCTCCACTTGAGCTGTGTGTGCTTTGACCAAGGCACAGAAGGAAGCATCCTGGTACCCAGGAAGGAAATGGGCTGAGAGGCAGAGCTCTGGGAGAGCTGTTGTCAGCTGTTTTGGCTGCTATTTCTTAGTTTGCTGACCCAGGGGGTGGCACTCCCTTAGGGCATAGTCTCACCATAAGGGCATTGTTCTCTTAGGAGTACCATTCAGATCTCAAAATTGCTCTTTGTTGTGGATATATGCAGTTGATTAAACACTATGGACTTTTCTTATAATTTACTCATGACTCTAGCTACCCTTACATAGAGTTATTTTTTAAATTCAACTCTAAAATTTAGCTACCATTTATTAAACACCTAGTATGGGTCAAACACCTTAGGCCAAGCCAGTGAAGGGGTTGTTATCAGCCCCACCTCTCAGAGTATGAAACAAGTTCAGAGAGGTTGAACGGTGTGCTCAATTTGCGCAGGTGGGTTAAAATTTGAACCATGTCTTTCTGACTTTGAAGTGGGTGCTGTTTTGCATCTAGGCTTTGAACCTGCTAAAGACTAGGTGGATCTGGGCAAGGAGCATTTAAACTAAGTAGAAATGCAATCCAGATCTCAGGTCCATCCTTTCTCCTCTCCAGCAGGATTCTGACCCAGGCATTCGCCTTTTTTGGGCCTCGGGATTCTCCTCTGCTGGCAAAATGACTCTGATATCTTGCATTGGGAGCTGCAGCTTGCTGTTTTCCCCCTTTTGCACATGTTAGCTCTGCGGAGTCATGCAAAGTTGCGTTAGCCATTGAGTTTAGAGTTCACTGTAGAGAGATATACATATTATATAAAAAAGAGCCAGATAATGGTGGCACATACCTTCATTTCCAGCCCTCAGGAGGCAGAGGCTGACAGACCTCCATAAGTTCGAGGACAGCCTGGTCTACTGAGAGAGTTCCAGGACAGCCAGGGTTGTTACAGAGAGAAACTCTGTCTCAGAAAACAAAACAACCACCACCACCACCACAGCAAAAACAGATAGACTTGACCTGGGCTTTGAACCTGCTCACTAACACGAGGCAGAGCATCAGGAAATTGGAATGTAGATGTCAATACTTCACAGTCATCTTCAGACATACAACTTATTCCTTTAAAAAATTACCTTTTACTATTTTTGCAGACATTTTAGGGATATCATTTCCTGATAACAAATGTTTGACCTTTGAATTACATCCTTGTCCATGATGCTGCCAAGGAACTAACTTCTGCTAATGCTTAGACTTTGACCATAAAACTCCTAACATGCAAAGAGCATATATGCACATCAGAAGATTGCTGTTTGGTTTTGTTTGTTTGTTTGTTGCTTATGAATCAAATATTTTCTGAACAAGGAAAATCTACATTGGCTAAAGAATGCTAATTTACTTTTGGGATACTTTTTTAAAGAAAGTGTCCAATCTCAAATGCTAAATATTTACTAAACTTCTTTTGTGCGGTGAGAATGCTCTTCCCTTGGCCAGTGAGTTATTCAAAGTAGACAATATCCTTAGACCTTCCTGGGTCTACCATGAACCTAGACCTTATGGGAGACTGTGAATATGTGATTCAAGGTGGACACATCAGCATGCACCTTAGGGTGCTGAGGATGGAAGGGTGGGAAAGAGAGAGAAGCTAGTCAGCATCTGTCAGTGCTCACCCATCCTGTCTCTGACCTTGAATATAAGTTACCATCTGACCCTCACAGCAAACCTACACTGACTTCACAGTCATGGAAACTGAGACCCAACATTCTCAGGTACTATCAGCCTGCTTCCAGATCTACTAGACCCTCATTAATGTTTTTACCACATAGTCAACCAAAGGTCCATCTAAACCACAAGATCTCACATAACAATAACCTAAGTCATTTTGAATAACTTGGCATTAAAGAGCCCTTAGATATAAATGCTTGAGCTCAATGTCATCTGTTCTCAAAGAAATCAAGAAAGTGGGCAAACAAAAATCACTGCCACCACCACCACCACCACCACCATCACCAACACCACCTACCAACATGACCACCATCATCACCAATAAATTGGTTTCTGGCATACCAGGACAATTTTCTAAAGCCCTTGCTCCCAAGTTAATTTTTCAGAAACCAAATGGTGTTCTTTACATAATATCAAGTATACCACAGGATTTGGAAGAAATTTACTCCTTCATGTCACACCGATTTACTTCAAAAATCAAAGTGGGCTGGACAATAGATGCTTAAGCCAATGAAAGAAAAATAAAATCCCAAGAAGACATCCATCATTTGATGCTCAGTTATGCTAAGCCACATGTTGGAAAGAAGCACAGAGCCCCGCATCCCGTTAGCATGTACACAGCTGTGTGACTTGGACAAGTCAGACAGAATTTTTAAGGCAAGATCAGGTGCCCTGCGAAGGCCCCTCCAAGATCTGAAGTCAGTCTTCCCTGGAGGCCCAGACATGGTGTTCATCAGAATCTGTTTTTCAACCTTACACTTGTCCCAAATTGAATCTTCTGCTCTCTCTCGTTTCCAGGAAAGAAACCAATGTTTTCTGAGAAGGTAAGCTGTTTGTGGTTTTAGTTTTTGCTTGTTTGATTTTTTTTGTCTTGTCCTTATTCTTCGGAAAGTGTTGGACCCTCACATGTCCTTTATGTCTTCTCTAATGTCTTGCAGCCCTCGGCCCCTGTGGGAAGGTAAGCCTCTATTGTATTGTATCAAGCCCCAGAGGTTCCCTGCAGATCTCTGCCCAGTTAAAGTGGTTTCGTACAAATAAATCCTTCCTCTACACACTCAGCAGGACTCTCGTGGAGCATTTACCCAAGATACAAAAGCCTCCTTTACCACCAGCCATGGACAGACACGAAAGGAGTGAAAGAAACGGACCTCCGGTAGCAAAGAAGCCACCGGTTCCCAAGTAATTCTCTTGCGCGGCTTTTGGATCCCCAGTGCTCGGGAGGGCAAGGACTCCTGACCTTTCTGGCTAGATAAAAAGTACTGAGGTCTGTGAAGAGAATGGAGTTTACTTGAGGAGCGAGGAGAAGTGCTTAGTGGGGAGTGCAGGGTGGCTGCTGTGGGTGACCCTGTCTGAAGTGGGTCTCACAGCGTCTCATTTGTGTCAGCTTTTCCCTGCTTTATCAAAATGAAACCCAAACAGCACATGGAAGCTGTGTTTGTCACTTTATTCCATAAGGGACCAGAGAGGAAGGACTTCTGGGTGGGTATCTCTAGGCCAGCATTAGCCTCTCTTTTACTGCTTAACCAATTTTTTACAACCACTGAGCAGTTTTACCTCTGCTATAATAAAATTATGCATGGTCCATTTACCAAATGACACAAGTATTCCTGGGTTTGGGGCCAGCCAGGCTACTTTGGGAGGGAACAGTGAGGTTCATTATCTCATCTGTCTATCAAGATTCATAACCTGGCTTGGCTGTTGTGAGGATTCAGTCAAGATGTGGGGTAGGGTATGCCAAGAAAATCCTCTGTCATTGACTTTCATAACATTTTAATGAATTATTTAACAAAATCAAAATACAGGAAAGATGATCATAATTACCAAAATATCAAAATTTTCAACCAAACAGGGGAAGAACTGAGAGATGACATGAGAAGCATCTGACACTACCTACTGATTTCCTCCCTTCTTCCCCTCTCTTTCAGGAAGTACAGATGCCTCTGTAGCCCTTAGACAGTTATTGTCACAGCTGTTGGATTGACTTGTTCATCTATGCCAATGGCACCAAGGCCCTATTGGAAAAGCCCAGAACAGGGAGCTTTGCCAACTGATTTTTTTATTACTTGAAGGGTGGACCTTGTGGTGGCTGGTTTAAAACCCCAGCAAAGAAGAATATTACTGAAAATGTTTTTATTTGCTTGGAAAAAACATCTACTCAGTGAAATTTAATAGCTACTAAAAGCTGACTAAACATATATATGTGGATAATTATGTAATTATTTGCTACAGTAGCTCTGTAGAACAAAGGTTTGCCTAGCTCAGCTTGCAATGATAACAGAGCATTCAGTGGCCAAATTTCCCTTCTCTCCCTTTCCCCAGCATTTCTGCTAGCATTTGCAACTTCCCCTTTGGCCATGGCTCAGTGGGTTTTATTTCTCCTTATGTAATTCACTGAAATTATATTCTGGGGCTGACTCTTCAAGAGTCTTGATGCTCATTTCTGTGCTCTAATTCATTTCAGGCATGGACGAGGACCAGACAGAAGGGAGAATGTAAGTGTGAAATGTCATTTAATAAAAGCTTGGCACCAGGGCAACCAGTGTAGGGTCTGGGGAGGTGGGACTCTGTGTGCCCTACACCCATTTGACCTCCAAAGAATCTGTTAAATATCAGTGTCTGCATCTTTACTTAGAGTTTATGCCCAGCTCCTAGCCCTCTGAGAGGTCCTGGGTGGCTGGTGTCTTTCAGTCTCATTCCCAAGGGTAATTAGCAAGGAGATTTGGGGGGCAGGAATGGAGGAAAAGGTCAGGAAGATGTGGCAGACTCCAAGTCTCACACAAAAGTTTCCAAGCCTGCCTCTTCTTCTTTGAAAACCTCCACAGCTCACAAAAGAGAGGGTTAGTGTTGATGGATGCTACTTTGATAGTAAGTTAATGTCTTTTATTATTTTTCCCTTACAGGATGAAGATGATGGTATGTTTAGAGATCTTTTTTACAACCTATTCTCATTTCTTAAAACTTTCATTCTCTCATTTTTTTGATCAGCCATTTAAATAGAATTATTGAGAATGGAACACTATATGTCAAACTAACATAAGCAGACATAAACCAATTGCTACACCTCGTGGCTGTAGTGAAAAGGAATCACTTGGTTGGTTTACCAAGGAAAACTTAGGTTCATGTGTTCAGAATACCTAACTGCACAGAAAATTGCACAAATGTCTTGGTAGAAAATATTCTAGTATTTATACCCCCTTATACACATGGGTCCAGAATCAGTAACCATGGATGGACAAAACAGCATGTGGCTCAGGCTTTCTGAAGACAAAATAAGTTGGAATTAACAACTTTCCCACTAACAAGTTTCTGCCAAGTAAGCAGTTCAAAAAACAAAATTAAAAATTCTCTATAGAGAACAGCAGAAATTTTAAGTGCATCCCAAGATGGTGAACTATCTAGGAAAAAAAAAGAAAAAGAAAGCATTAGGTAGGTTATATTCCTATCATTTGCTAATTATATCTGATCTTTTAGATTTTTGTATCTCCATATCAATGGTTTGGGGCTTGGGTTTGGGGCCTGGGGGTACTCCAAATGTCCTCAGATTTGATTCTGACTATTCTTTTTTCTTCTTCTTCCCCCACAGTGCATCAGAGATCTTTGCCCCAGTCATCACTACCTCCTATGAGCTCCAACACATTCCCTGCAAGATCTGCCAAGCCCGGCCCCAAGCACACATTCCCATTGTCTCACATGCCGGGAGTCCTCTCAGAAAGGTCAGGGACGATCACTCAGTTCTAAGGAAGTATAATGTCTGGGGTCTTGTGTTCTAGATCCATGTATGTTGTTGTGACAAATACCTGACAACATAGATCATAAAGGGTTTCTTTTACAATCTAAGGTTCTAGTTCAGTATTTCAGGAAAGTTGAGGCAGGAACTCAAGTAGCTAGTCACATCATATCCACAGGCCAGAGCACAGAGAAATGAATGCCCCTGCTACCTGTTTGCTTACTTTATTCACTGCCTGGCTTTCTTCATTCATATGCAGTTCAGGTCCTAGCCCATGAAATGGTATACCTACAGTAGACTGGATCCTCCTACCCCAAGTAACCATTAACACAGATCCACCTACAGGCCAATGTGATCTAGATAATTCCTCAGCTGAGACTGCCTTCCCAGGGGATCCTTGGTTATTTCATGTTTACAGTTGCAACTAATCGGTACAACTTAGTGTTGTGGCAAATGCCAGTGGCTTGAGGAAGAAAGAAATGAGCCATTGGGCAGAAGTACCTTTCCTTACAAGCGAAATGAGCTTGGAGAACAACCTGAATGTCCAGATATTCTCTGAGTGTCTGAGCTTGAGGGGAGTGGGGGATGACTTGGCTCACAATTGTCCCATGGACACATTGACAGGAAATGGTGGGTTTTTTCACTTGCTTATTTCAAAAAGAACAAACAAGCAAACATCATTAAGAAACCCAGTTGACAACCGGACGGTGGTGGCACACGCCTTTAATCCCAGCACTCAGGAGGCAGAGGTAGGCAGATCTCTGTGAGTTCAAGGCCAGGCTGCTCTACAGAGGGAGTTCCAGGACAGCTAGGGCTGTTACACAGAGAAACCCTGTCTCAAAAATGAAAGAAAATGGGAAGAAGGAAGGAAGGAAGGAAGGAAGGAAGGAAGGAAGGAAAGAAGAAGGAACCCAGTTAACTGAAGTTCCTGTATTCTCTCTTCCCCCTCTAGGGAAATAGAGAATATGCCTTGCACCTGACAGAGGCCAAGCATGTATGCTTGGGAGCTGTCCTCAAAAGCATTGTTTTCTCTAAAACTAGAATTTTTCAGTCATAATAAGACTACCCATAAACAGAGGTATGGCCAGAAGAACCAAGCAAGACCCAAATCATCCCTGCACAGGCAAGCCAATGGGCTACCTCATGCAGCCTCCCAGGGCCTCTGGCCTGCTGGCCCACCAACGCTTTTAGTATTCAAAAGAAGCCCAACTTCTCCCCCTACATGCTGTGGAAAATGGAACCATCAGCACAGTCAGTCCACCTCTGCCAACTCTCTGGGGATTCTTGAAGTCTTCCCTTTGCGCCTGGGGTCCTCATGCCTTCAGTTCTTCCCATTCATTCCTCCATTTGGCTTTCTCTACTGCCATGTCCATGGGAACACTCCCCCCCACACACACACAGCTCTAGCCCATCTTTTGTTCTTGAAACCCACTGAATGAGAAGATGGGGTGTGCAGAGCATACCATTACTATTTGGGCTAATGACCGGGATTGGTGCTTAGAGAGAACAGACAGCATTCCAGGGCCTCTGCAGATTTACTTTCCCATCCCAGCCTTGCAAACGTCTCTCTGCTGCAGCAGCACCCATCACTTTCTTCCCCTTGGACCCACCCTCCCTCTGTAGACCAGCAGCTCCCGGGGATTCACTGCTCACATACACTCTGATTAGTGTGTCTTCCTTCCTGGGTCCTTGTGTAGACTCAAAGACCTCAATCCACAGCCCCATTTTAAAAATAACTTGTAAATTCAATTTACAAGCTTTATTTTTATTGTTGTTTGCCTTTGGCTTGTGAAGCATATTAGACTTTGTCCCTTTTGGGACACCAGTAAAGTTCTTTTTCTGTTTCTACAGTAACATTGGCTTCCAGCAGAGTGCCTCCCTGCCACCACACTTCTCTCAAGGTTTGTACACAATTGTGATCTCTGCCTACCAACATGTCCATATGGTAACAGTGCAGTGTGTCTCAACACCTTTAGGCAAAGGCTATTTCCTAAAAGTATATGGCTTCTTCATTTAACACTTAATTCAGTGTCAGCAAGGTACCAAGGGCTGTTGGAATGAGACACTACATGAAATCACACACACACACACACACACACACACACACACGCACACGCACACACACACACACACCAACACCACCACCACCACCACCACCCCACCAGCAGCAGCAGCAACAGCAGCAGACCAGCCTTAATCCCTCATCTTCCCACCCAGAGTTATGTCCGTGATGGTTTGATAGAGAGCTCAGAGCAGCACTTAGCTTCCTTGTCATTTTAGCGATGAATCTGTTCCCAGGTTGTGAATTGGGACGCATATTCAAAATATAGATTACAAGAACCCAGTCCCAGAGATTCTGAATCAAACCAGATATGGTGGCTCAAACTTGTAATCTCTGCCCATGGGAGGTGGGTTAAGAGTCTAAGATAAAAAAGTTTAAGATCATCTTAAGCTAAAGAGCAAGTTTGCAGCCAGCCTGGGCTACATGAGATCATGCCTCAGAAAAAGAACCGAAGTTTCTGAGTTAATAGGAGAGGCCAGAGGCTTTCCTTTTCCAACGATGCTACCACTGAGAGTCCACGGTGAGCGTTCTCAATGTTCAGTGTGCATACAGATGCCTGGGAATCATGTTCAAGTGGATCTAATTCAGGAGGACTGAGCATCACCTAAGATGGCACTTCTAGCAAGTTCCCATGGAACATCGATGCTATTGGTCTATGTTCTAGCAAAGGTCTGTGAGACAGGACTGCTTTGGGATGAGTTTAAAGCAAGTGATCAGGTTATGGTGCCCTCTAGTCCAACAGTTCTACATCTTGGGGAACTGCAAGATCAAAACAAACAGAAAGACCACAGCAAACACTGGCTCCAAAGTAACGCTGTTCTCAGGCTCTTCCCTTTCTCTTCGTGAAGACACTGAGCACATAATTAGCTCTTCACTGCTGCCAATGTGCGCGCTGTTGGTGAGACATGCCACGTGTGCAGGCATCTATGAAAGGTCTCCTTTTGGCATCTTCTTATTGAGGCACACAGGCAAACAATGTGGCTGTTTTATAAGTGGGCTCACATTACGTTGTATGCATGTTTAGGGTTCACTGAAATGCCAGGGTCTTTAAGTTTCACCAGCATGGTATGTAACATGGTCTAAAGAACCCTCATATCCTGAGAGAAGTAGAAATTATTTTTCCAACCTCATATTCTTTTTTAATTAATTAATTAATTTTACAACTTGGAGGCAGTTGCCCATCTCTCCTCTCCTCCCAGTCCCTTCCCCATCTTCTCCTTCTGTTCCCACCCCCCAATCCACTCAGTCCTCATCCATTTCTGTTTAGGAAAGGACAGGTCTCCCATGGATATCAACAAAACATGGCATACCAAGTTGCGGTAAGACTAAGCATCTCCCCGTGTATTAAGGTCAGGCCAAAAAAAACTTAATATGAGGAAATAGGGCTCTAAAAAGTCAGTAAAAGAATCTGAGACAATCCTTAATCACGCTGTTAGGCATCCCACAAGAGGGTCAACCTACACAACTGTAACATATATGCAGAAGGCCTAGATCAGTCCCATGTGGGCTCCCTCCAACCTCATAATCTTGAAAACTGAATGCCCCTACTGTCATGGGGGTATCTGTGATGGATGTGCTATGAAATGAGAAAACAAGAGACGACAGTAAATTAATTTTCAAAATATTTTTCTTTGAAAGGTCTGAGCAACAGACCACCTCTCAGAAATGAAGGCAGAAACTTACCCTTGCCAGTTCCAAACAGGCCGCAGCCTCCATCTCCTGAGGAAGAAGAGGTAATACAGCTGTTTCTAATTGTGTTTGCCTTTCTCCCTAGCAGAGGGACCTTAGGAAACTCTCCTCAGCCACTCTGCTATGTTTGTATCTTCTGTTAGAGCTTTGTTTATTAATTAAGAGGGCAGCTGTAGAGCTCAGTGGTCAAACCCTTGCCAAGCATTGTGTGAAGCCCTGCCCTGAATCCACAGCACCACACACAATAAACCAAAAATTGAGGGGAAAATGTAGATGAAAACTAATGTTTTCTTTAGTGTTCTCTGACCATCTTGCAGGGCATTAAGAGATGAGAAAAATAATCCCATATTTTTGTGTTTCCTGGCTTATAGCCTTGAATGAGTAAGTCTCGTAGTTGCTCCATTAAAACAGATTTTTCATTAACTATGTTACTACCATATAATAAGCTGGAGAAGTTCATCTATCTCTGTCTTTCCAGATCAAAGTTGCCATTATATAAGGGAGGCTCCTTCCTTCCCAGCTGCTTTTGCAGTCAGTGGCACGCTAAGGAATCAGTTTGCACAAAATGTTTTCCAGGCAGCCCCATTTAAGGGATTCAAGTCAAGAAAACAAATGTTTCAAAGCCCAGAGAATTGAGGTGGTGATTTATGGGAAATATTATGTTATCCCCCCTTTTGTTTCTTTTCACTTTCCCTATGTAACTATAGAACTCACTGTGCTTTTAAAATGTCTTATTTGCAGACTCCATTAGATGAAGAGTGGTATGTCTCTTACATTACCCGACCAGAGGCAGAAGCTGCTCTTAGGAAGATAAACCAGGTATCATTGTATGCTTTCTGTTTCTGCCATTATATGTTAGTGGAGGAAGAGGAGGGTATTGATATGCACTGGCACTCAAGTGTGAGCTAGCTGCTGTTCCTTTAAGAGCCATTAGTCCTACCATCCTACCTGCTAGCATCCGTAGAATGTTTCCTTCAAGCCATCACCATCCATCAGTTGGATATTAGACAGATACTAGGCAGTTTCATTAATGAGTGTGTCTCTTTTTTTGTCAGAGGAATCGTGCATCACTTCAGACATCTTACTAGTTTATCTTCCTCTTAACACTCAGTAGCCATTCAAGATCACAAGAGAGACCCATGTTGAAAGCATATCTGCAAAGACTTCTAGAAATTTCTAGTTAGTCTTAATGTTATAAAATCTTACTCCTGTCCAGTCCTGCCCCTTAACCCTGAGTTCCTGGATCAGAGATGGGAGACAACAACCCTTTAGCCTTTACACTGTGAAGGTAACAGCAACCACCTCCAGCCTCAGCAGCCAATTTGGTCATCTGGGGGAGTTTTTTTTTAAATTTGGGTTCCTGGGTTTGAGGAGATTGTGTTAATAAGTGGGTGTGCAGGGTGGGCTGAGGTAGACTTCAAACTCCCCAGGTGACCCTGAATTCAAGCCAAACCTGTGACTCACTGGTCCAGAGGGAAGTTCCTTTACCAGCTATGTTCTAACTGGCTCAATTAACTCCAAGCAAAAATAACAAAGGAATGCCATGATTGTATATTGATGGCCATGTAAATCCCATTCTAATTAAGTACACAGAGGAGGGAGTGATTTACATTGGTCTTACTAACTAGCTCTGTTTTAGTATTAGATCTTTGTCATGTTTTATTACATTGAAATAATTTTGTATGAAAATTTAAAACACGGAACAAATCACATTTTAGAAAGTAGTGGGGAAAGAGGTGACGAGAATATACAAAGTCCACATTCACTTTTGTTCAGGTGTGGGACGGGCAAACGCTAACCACAGCAAACGTGTGGGGTAAAGGGCGGTGCATTTCACAGGCAAGTTTAGAAAACTACCAGAATTGAGCAGGTATATAGTAAGTAAGCCGCCTTATTTCTTATGGTGCATTACTCACCTACTGACTGTTTTTATTACTGAAAAAAATTATACTAAGAAGCTTCAAAAGCAGGGCAGTGGTGGCACATGCCTTTAATTCCAGCACTCAGGAATCAGAGGCAGGTGAATCTTTATAAGTTCAAGACCAACCTGGTCTACAGAGTCAAGGTCACAAAGAGAATCCTGTCACTAAAAACAGAAAGAAAAACAACATAAAGCTTCAAATATGTTAACTTGCAAACTTCAGATACCATCCCAGTTGTCTTCCTTAAAAATCAAAAGACTCAGAGTACCTGGGGCCCCCACCTGTGAGGAGAACTCAGTGTCAATTAACAAGTGATAGTTTGACCTGCCCCATAGGCTTGTTTCTTGACAGCAACAAAAGGATTGACTTTCACAGCTTCCATTAACAACAAGTATCTATTCTAGGATGGTACTTTCCTGGTAAGAGATAGTTCTAAGAAAACAGTAAGCAATCCATATGTCCTCATGGTGTTGTACAAAGACAAAGTTTACAACATTCAGATCCGTTACCAGGAAGAAAGTCAAGTATACTTGCTGGGAACTGGACTTCGAGGAAAAGAGGTAAGGCCTTCATGCTACATAGCAACTATGCAGTTAAATCACATGCTGTATAGCAACTATACAGTTAAGTCACATGTTGAATAGTAACAATGCTGTTAAACAACTTTAGTGAAGCCCCCCATTTACTGAAGGAAAGAAGACAAACATTATAAGTAACTTTTCCACTAGAGGTGTCTTTCTTGTATTTTCATTATAAATAGCCCAATATTATAGACATACCCTGCTTGTGGTGCTTGGGACTGAACCTGGGGTCTTGTGCATACCAGTCAGATGCTAACGCTAAGCTCTATCTCTGGTTCTGAAGTGTAACTTTTAAAATAAAAAAAATTGAAAAATATGTCTAGGAAGTGTCAAGGGCAGTATCATCTATTTTGACTTCTTTTGACATTTCAGTGTAAGATTATGGTATGTCTATAAAACTTTATTAAAATAAGTTTTAATAAATAAATAAATAAATAAAATAAGAGTGGCTGAAGAAATGGCTCAAAAACTGAGTACTTGCTACTCTTACAGAGGACTGGGATTCTATTCCCAGGATTCACATGAGGTGACTCACAACCTCTTGTAACTCCAGTTCCAAGGCTGTGATGCCCTCTTTTGGCCTACATGGGCACTGCATACACATAGTACACATACAGACAAGCAGGATGCACACACACACATACACACATCAATAATAAAAATTTTAATTTGAAATTCCACATAAGAAAGCAGAGAAACCTAGAATTACCACTACTTCTACAGTAATTATTGAGATACTTAGGGCATTTCTTGATAAACTGAGACATTTGGCTCTGTGAAGATGGTCATATTACCAAAGAAATTCTCCTGTTTGGCCAAGTCAACTCTTTGGTGTGAAAATAACCATCAGGCTGCTTTTGTGGAGGAAACCAACAAATGTAACACACTAAGACATCTTTTCAATGTTATACAAAGAAAACCAACTGGACAAATCAGTAGCAAGATGAGAACAATCCACTAATAATTTTACTTCAAATGCTTTAAATCAGTGACAATGCTGAGCAGAAAGAACACGATTTTGGTCAAACATTTGGGTCACTTGCTTCCTGTCTGCAGAGCTGCATAGGCTCTCCAGAGGCAGAGTGTTACCTCCCAAGATTTCTCTGGGTCTTACATGAAAGTATGTTTCCCTGGAGGGAGGTATCTGGACAGTTTGTCTTGGTACAATCACACAATCCAATTTAGGTACAACTTGAACTCTGGTTCAGGGGTGAGTGGGACCAGTCTGTCTGTCCTGGATGACTTGGTTCCTGAGCCCTCATTGTGAGTGTGGAGGTGAAAGGGAAGGAATTGTTACACCATGCTAAAGCTTCACCTCAGAAATGACCCTGTGGTTTCTTACACTTCCTAATAGTTTCAAGTGTGGCAAGGGGGGAATACACAAACCCAAACAGAAATGCAAGTCACAGACCAGGGCTGAAGAGATGGCTCAGCGGTTAAGAGCGATGGTTGCTCCAGAGGTCCTGAGTTCAATTCCCAGCAACCACATGGTGACACACAGCCATCAGTAATGTGATCTGGTGCCCTCTTCTGGCCTACAGGCATATGTGCAGGCAAACACTGTATAAGAAAAAATTTTAAAAAAGTAAAACCAGAGATTAACACCAAGCAATGGGTGTCATGATGGAAATGTTTAGGGTAAATGAGCCACTACACAAGTTAAAATTTTTTATTTTTTTAAAATTTGTGTGTACCATGGTACATGTGTAGAGATTAGAGGACAACTTGTATGTGTAAGTGCTCTCTTTACTCTGTGTGGGACCTGGGTCATCAGGCCTCTAACCTGAGCCTTCATACTGGCCTAACCTAATATTGTTATCTCTTAATTAAAATTTGTTGACTGTTAATGTGGAAATCTATAAAATACTTGACAAATTTTATACTTCTCACAATACCCCCAACTGATGCAAACTGAAAAAAAAAACACAATTATAAAATTTGTACTGTCCATTCCAATGTTAACTCATCTTCCCATTTGACTTTTTCAGGACTTTCTGTCTGTATCAGATATTATTGACTACTTCAGGAAAATGCCACTGTTGCTCATTGATGGGAAAAATCGAGGCTCTAGATACCAGTGCACGCTGACATACGCTGCAGGGTGCCCATAGCAAGTCAGTCAAGCAAATCAGCCTTCCTGACTCTGTTGTTAATGAGTGAAGATCATTCCTAAGGTTTTAGGAAATGGATGAACACTTTGGACTAAAGCAAGCCCCTCAATGCAGGCACAGAGTTTTGCTCTTTCCTTTAAAAATGTTTGAAGATTGCTAAATATCCCATAATTTATTTATTTTCTTCAATGTCAGCAAAGTGCAGAAGAAATCACGTCCACATACGAAGTCTCAGTGGGTTGCAGTACTTCATCTCAGGGCCTGAGATTTTGAACAATCCATCTCTAAATATGGCACTTTACACACTTTACATACTGCAGAAATAATGTGGGCAAGTTCAAGAAGTACTGAAACTGATCAGTTTTGATATCACACATTTTATAATGAAACTTTGTCAATTGAGGCGATTTGTTTTTTACACAACTTAAAACAATTAACTTAAGAGGCTCCAAAAGCATAACTCCATTCTTTCTTATTTGGTTTTGCACGGAGTATTTTTTATGTATTTTTCATATTTGAGATAAATGCATGTTGGGATAACTTCCTGGGATTAAAGTTACCTTTTTGCTTTACTCTTTTAGACCCTTAAAACAACTTTATTGTTTACTCCAAACTGTTATATTTTGGTTTTAAAGTAAATGTAAGCTACAAATTCTGTAAAAAGAAAACGGTTTTCGATTCAGTGATGCAGCTTTGCTGTCAAACACGCTGTCTCTGTTGCTTCTTCGTTACATCCGTTATTTCCTCCCGCTATCTACATCCAGAGTGTACCCCCTCCACACCTGTCTTGAAAAGCAGTTTCTAGTATTGAAGACCTCCTGGGAAGGTGGAGCAATGCTTTGTACACACACATGCATGTGGATATGTGCACATACACATTTCCAACCCACCGCTTCTATCAGCAGGCTTTCAGTTAGAAAATTTTGCTCAGTATGATCATTTGTTCCTGTTCTTTGGGCCTGTGCTGGTTCACACAGGATACTGAAGTGAGAATGTGTGGAGGACATTCATTCACCTCATGGTGCTGGGAAGCTAAAGGGAAAGGAAGATTCGGTAATCTCCCTCAAGGGCATGCACCTACTGACCTAATTCTATCCCACTAGACTCTCCCTCGTATGGTCCCACCACTGACCACTGTTGCCCTGTTTGGGGTGGGGGAGTCAAGCCTCTAAGACAGGAGCCTTTGGAAATTACCTATCCAAACCTCAGCTCTGCTTTTCTGTCGTTAACACAGTGTGCTGTGACTCCAGTCTCATTCTTCTCATATTGGCTTATCTTTTCAGAGCCCCTCACCTGTCCTTCAGTCTATAAATCACACTTAAGAAAACGTACAGTTGGGTCAGTTGGGTTTCTGTTTATGTTGCTTTACCATTTTTTACTGTATGATGGCCTGGGGGGTCATGCCTGTTAAGTACAAACTGTATGTCAAAGTGAATTTTGCTTCTCTTGGGCTAGCAACAGGTGGTATGAGAGTCTTGGCCAGTCATGTGACCACCAAGGGTACCCACCAGTACTTTTCAGTGTTATATGTTGCAGGTGGTTTTCTTTCCTTTTGGGGGGCATATGAAAATTCAATAAATTAAATAGTATGTTCAGTATTTTAGATAAACTAGAGTTTGTGTTAGGTGACTTTGCCCAACTGCAGGCTAAAGTGCATGATCTGAGCATTAAGACAGGCTAGGCTGAGCTCTGATATTCACTAAGTATTGTCAGTAAATGAATTCTCAGCTCACAGTATTTCCCCTTGTTACTATCAAGATATAGTGTAGGCTGAGGAAAATTTGTAGTACTGTTCATGTTCCGCAAGCCATAACCTAGTATTCACCAAACAGTGACATGCCTGGTTCTTCCAATTTGATTCCTTTGGGACTTTCAGTATCACTGTGTGACTTTTATGGACAAATGTTTTGATTTCTCTGATCTACAAAATTTTCAAATAGAAAATATACTTTTATTTTCATGAGTTAAAAAGAAACAAAAAACTTATTGTTTTGGAATGGACCTTAGAAATCACCAGGTAGATACTGAGGACACACTAAGGAGCAGGTAGACTGTGGAGATGCTTAACAAATGGCAATGTTCTACAAAACCTCATCCTTACAAACCCAGAGTTCTCAATTTCGAACCCAGAACTTGGAAATGCTAAGGCTTAAACACTGTTTTCATTATGTTTCCTCAGCAGGATGTCCAATGGGCATTGACAGCATCTGTACTGTGCAAAACACTGAGATAGTTCCTGGGGAGAGGAGTAGCCATTTTTATATCTAAAGGTGATGAAATTTAAGGACATGGTAGACCTCAAAGCATCTACTAGTAGCTCAGGTAGTTAAATCTGTCAACTTAACTGAATTTTAGGATCAGTTGAGGTTGTATCTGCTTCCAGAGAGGTTTGACTGAGGAGGGAAGACCCACTCTAAATGTGGGTTCAGTGCCAGAGCACAGCATTCGTCTCTTTCTGCTTCATAATGGACACAATGTGCCCAGATGCCTCATAGTTCACAACCTTCCCTTCCCTCCCTGCCATCATCGACCGCATCCTCTCAAAGTCGAAGCCCAAACCACCCTTCTTCCCTTTGAGCTGCTTCTTTACAGGTGTTTGCTCACAGAAACAACAAAAGCAGCAGTGGATAAATGAGACAAAATGTATTTGTGTCTCTTAGGGCAAAGGGGCAAAAATGAACCTGTGGATAATGTGTTCTCTTACACTCCTATGACTACAATCATGAGAGTCTCATGTTTTCAGGACTAGTACAATATGTTTCTTTGGGTACCTTCAATTCTAATTCTTCTGCCAGTCTTGCCTATCTGAACCATGGGCCTTATGACCACAGCTGGACCTATCACCACTGGTCAGCTCTTTGATCATGGGTTAACATCTTAACAAAAGGTAGGCCATTCAAGGTCCCTCACTGAAACAGAAAATCAGTCCTTTATAGCACCCCTCAAAGGCAAGGCTGTCTGTTTCGGTGCCATATTCAACCCAGCACACGAACAAAGCCTGTCTACAGCAGAGAGAACAAGTCCAGGACATCAAGCACAGACAGGTCAGTTTCCAAAGTCAGACTTCCAGCTTTAGTGCAATCAGTTTCCCTTTGAGACATTAAAAACAAAACAAAACAAAACCAAAAAAGACCAGCTTTCAAGAAGATATGCTTATTTATAATTTTATATTGTTTTAAATTATACTAATAAACTTAGTTATTCCAGATTTTAAGTCAACAAACCAGAAATGTAAAACAAATACAAAATTCAGTCAGATAAACTGATAGAAGCAAGGTCTACATCTGGTATCTCAGGGTCTTCAAATGGATGGCTTGTTTCTGCATCCTTGAGGTCCTCAGTCTTCTTGGGCTGACCAAAATGGAGATTGAGGTCACACAGCAGGATATGGGAGAGTTCTGTGTAAGAGAGAAAACAGAGTGACACTGGTGTTATAGTAACTATCACTGCTTTAATGAGCTATTTCCTAATTTGTAAAGATGTTTTTCAAATATTTACTGATCAAGCTACAACTGAAGTGTGACCCCTTATGATTGAAAACCACGGGTATCCTAGAAAGCCCTCCACCCATCCACTCAGCAATCTTTCCACACAGCAACGCTATGTAAATGTATCTTAAACTTAGCTAACTTGCATATGCACACAGTGCAAAGAACAGGGGCCACCCCTAAGACATTACAAAGACAGCATCTGGTTTCAACTTTTCTTGACTCTTGTTTAATTTGGTTTTATCTGTGTGTGTGGTGGTTTGGCCTCCTTTGGTGGTGTCCCTATTAAGCTTTGTTAACTTGACACAAACCCAGTCATATCTAGGAAGAGGGGATTTCAATTGAGGAATTGCCTACATCACACTGGCCTGGACATGAGCCCGTGGGGGGCATTTTCTTGATTGATAGGTGATGTGGAGGTAGGCAGTGCCATCCCTGGGCAGGTATCTAGGCATATATAAAAGCAAACGGAGCAAGCCAAGAGAAGCAAGCCGGTGAGCCACATTTGCCTGTGGTCTCTGAGTACTTGTCCTGACTTCCTGTCATGATGGACTGTAAACTGAAAGGTGTGATAAACCCTTTCCTCTCCAATTTGCTTTTGCTCATGAAGTTTAATTACAGAAACAGAAAGCAGATGAAGACAGGGTAGGTGTGAATATGTTAGTATTTCTCTCTGTATCTCAAAAGACATGTTTTGTTTTGTTTTTTCTTCTTTCAGTTTCTGGCATTTGCTCCTGACTAACAACATTCTTTGACTCCCCACTCCCCAGGAAGCTTTTACTAACTTACTAGTTAGCCTTCAATTTTACTTATATAGGTCCTCTTCAAGAGCTGAATTTTGTAGGTACACATCATCCCACTTTTTTGGGGGGGCAAGCTTGCTCCTAACAATGCTTGTTTTTTTTGTTGTTGTTTTTTTTTTTTTTTTTTTTTCATTTTTTAATCAGGAACATGGTACTTCAAATGTCTCCTAGTTAGTAAATTGCTTTTCTCCCTATTCAGAACTTGACCATTCTCTTATTACAAGTCTCCTCTCTCCCAACGTATTTATTTTGCAGGACTGGAGATTGAACTCAGGGCCTTGTGCATGCTGGGCAAGCCATCTATCATTGTTACATGGCCGTCACATTTTGAAAAGGAACAGAGAATTGCTAGAGCTATCTGGATAAAGGCTTATAAAAAGATATAATAGGCAGAAATAGTGTCTGTGTGTGGCCACCTCAGGAGTAATGATGATGAGCAGCAGTGTATATGGCGGAGCAGAAGATGGAAAGAACCTGGCCCCTCTCTCATGCATCAATGTCAGGGCTGCCTACACTTTGCATTGTCTCTCTTCATGGTGCATATCGCGCATAAGGTCGGTATTTGTTTCTTGCAGCTGCAGGTCTCAGAAATGATAGACAATATCTACAAATATCTGAGAGCTGTAAGAATAACTTTACACTAAAATTGCTTTCATGGGTAGTTAATGGGGCCTATACATGAAGAGAATATGGGTACAGATTTCACCTAATCCCCCAAAGAACTATCTAAAATGAAATGGATTAATTGACGACAGAGTTCCACAGCATCCTGTCTCAGGGAGAACTTATCCCTAGAAATACTCAATCACAGAAATTTTACATGACTAGGAGACAATAAGAGAACATATCTAGGGCTGACTAAACACTATGACCTTTAAGATTTATTCTTATACTAAGAATGTATTTAAAATGAAAACCACTTCACTTATAGAATCAAACTTTTAACTCTTAATCTGGAATAACTTCAAGAGCTTAGTAAGAAATCATGGATAAAGACACTGAATTTCTTGGAATGTGATACATTCATATAAGTGTTGAAGGAAAGGAAGGAAGGTAAATTTTAAAAAGTTAGATAACTTCTTGGTGTCAGAAATAGGGATTCTGGCCTACCACCTTCAAAAATACAGTTAATATTATACTGTAAATACCTGTTTCTTTTAGATTTTATTTTTATGTGCATTGGTGTCTTGCCTGCACATGAGTCTGTGTGAGGGTGTCAGATCTCCCTGGAACTGGAGTTACACAGTTGTGAGCTGCTGCCATTTCCGTGGTGGGAACTGAACACCAGTGCTCTTAGCCACTGAGCCATTTCTTTAGGCCCACAGGACAGTTACAATTAGTAGAAAAACTATCCTAGCTGAAGCACAAATTAGCTCTACCATGTCTTTTACAGCAGTGGCATGAAAACATGTTGATTGACTCCATCCTTACCTTTCATCTTCTTCATCTCCAAAGAAATTGTATTAATGTTCTTAATCATGGCTTCCACTTTTTGCTTGTGGTCATGATGATCATTCTTAAACATCTGTTTATAAAAGAGAAACAGAAATGATGTAGTGGGGGGCTGGTTCGAGAACTCAGCAGTCAAGAGTACTTAGAGCTCCTTCAACCAACCTAAATTTGGTTCCCAACACTCACATTGGGCATCAGTCTCCCAGAGCTGCCCTATAACTCCAGCTCCAGGGGACCAAAGTCCTCTTCTGGTCTCTTCAGACACCCATGCACAAATGACACAAACACACAGTTGAAAATAAAATTTTAAAGATTATTATTTTTAAAAATAATATTCATGTGTATTTTAAAAATAATGTAGGTAATTAATAAAAAGAAAAAAGTTATTCTAGAACTAAAATCATTGTCTTTTCTAAATGGTTAGGCCAGTTATAACCTAGGGAAGCATCAATTTGTTTTGTTTTTCCAGGTTTCAAAGGGAATTGCATTTGAAAACAATTGCAAAAAGGATTCTTAGGGTGAAGTTTCTTCTTTATCAAACCACATCCACAAGATGGGGCCCTTACAATAGAAACAAAGTCCCCTCTACAGAAATCCTCATTTATAAACTACCTTACAGTTCAGCAATTGTGTAGGGGCTTTCCTAATTTTATGTTTATTCAGTGTCTCTTACTCTTGAATGACAATGCCTAGTTGTAATTTCTTTAAAAGTAAAATATAATGTGATTATATATAATTTATTGACAAAGATAAGCACTTGGCTATCTGAAATGTATAAACTACCACATTGTGCTATATATAGTATAGTAAATATATCTAATCAAGACTGTCTATAGAGATATGGCTCTGTAGATACTGTTTAGTCAAAGCTGGCAAAATGACTTGAAAATAAACCACAGTTAGCCCAGACAACTCCTGCCATATGAAAGCCGGGTAGTTACACGTCAGGATTATTGGTGTAGGATAATAAAACCAAACTAACCACCAAGTTAGACCTTGTCTTTGTACTTTCCTGAATTCCAGGCGTTTATCCTATTTTCCCTCACCCCCTTTACGGCAGCTTATTTTCTTTTCCAGACATTATCTACCTCTAAGACCCTGAATATTAAACAAGAATGCCAATAAAAATTTCACTTGGACATGCCAAACCCAGGATTCAGGTTTGAGGGGGGAAAACATGGTTTTTAAATATTAAGTGTAAAACCTCGTAAATGATGATAAAGCATGAACATGAAACTCATGGGAATGTCCTAAGCCCCCTCACAAAGGATAGGGACGTGAGCATCACAGTGGCTTAGGGTGACCGAATCCCACAGGGCTGGCGACAGCTCTGCTTTACCGTTATTCAAATGACGCTTAGCTGTGCACACAAGATCTACGCCGCCCCGGGACTAGACCAACATGGCGCACACGAGGGCATGACGTCACTAACGTACTTGCCCACCGGGCCGGGCCCAAGCCCTCAAGCCCAACAGAGGGTTTCAAGGGCAGATTCTGTTCAAAGCCTTCCTCCTGAGCGCCACCAACATCCCCTGAGGACCTGTACTTTCTGGGGATCACCGAATCCCCGCTGCCCAACCCCTGCTTAGCAGCTCGGGACAGGCCTAAGGCAGCCTAGAAGTTTCCACAGCGCTCACCCACCCTCCGGGTGCCCATTCCCCACCCACCCTGCAGCCGGAAAGTTAGTCTGGTGACTGTATGGCTTCAAATAACGCCCACCTTTCCAACTGTTCACCACAAATAAAAGCCTTGTCACCTTCAACGCAGTGTGTGCGGACTCAACAGTCAGCCAACGGACAGACCCTCAACAGTCAGCCAACGCAATGCTAGGTATGGTGAGGTGGCGGGGAAACCGGATAGGCTCCCTGGTTGACCAACGGCTCTGTCTACATGATGATTGGCCAGCGTCTCTGCATACGGCATTCTGATTGGATAGTTTCTTCACCTGTGGCATTCTGGGAATTGTAGTCTTAAATGAGTGACTCAACCGAAAATTCTGGAGTCTAGGCACAAGTGACTCCTCCTGCGAGCACCAACAAGGCCTTGGCATTTTCTGCTTCCTAGGTGCTGGCTTACCTGTATTCTCTTTCCATAGTGCAATGCTAGAGCTAGGGGCAGATTCTAGATTGGCTCTGTTTTGGTTTGAAGCCAACTTAACAGATAAACGTGTAACCATTCTGAGGCCAAATCCCCTCCTTCATCTTATGGAGCAATTAAAAAAATAGCTTTGAGGGATAAGTGAGATAATTCATCAGAGGTGTTTGGTGGGTGGTAACTGTCGCATCCTAATAGTTTGCTTATTTTTTTTTTTCTTTGAAAAATGGTTTCTCTGTGTAGCCCTGGCTGTCCTGGAACTCACTTTGTAGACCAGTCTAGCCTCAGAGATTCTTCTGCCTCTGCTCGGATTAAAGGTGTCCCCTACCACCGTGTGTCATTCTTAAAATTTTTTTTCAGATGAATAGGATACAGATGAGCTGACAGATACAGTAGTTTCTTGCCAAGTGGAGAGCCTGGGATTCAAGCCATCTTTACTTGCTTCCAAGAGGAATCCCTGCCACTACAAGTTTAGCAACTGGCCCAGGCATTTTACCTGGTGCTCTGGGTTAGTACCCTTAACCTTTGGAAAGCTTAGGTCTCTAGCACCAGGTACAAGAACATTTGTTTTCCCCAGGCCTCTGACACAGTACAGGCAAGCCTTATTGAATTAGTGCCTCCATAACAAGCCACAGCACAATCTGTTGGTCATTTAGCTTACCTTCAGTTTAACAACATAGAACTTGCCTTATGCTGAGTCCAATAGATGAGGAAAGCATAGGAGAAGAGAACTTCAGTCCTGATGACAGCTAGCTGTGTGGTTCTAGAAAACTGCCTTTTTCTCCTGAGCCTTCATTTCCTCCTTGGGTCTCCTTGTGAGAGGCACAGGGTAAATTTCACTCATAGTTGGGTTAATGTATGATATAGCCTATTGCAGATTACATTAATGTGGTGCCCATATTGTTATTACTGCTGTCTCATCTTAAATCTCCCTCCCTTTAAATTTACTTTAGAAATTATATATCACCAGTATAAGAGAAATAAAAATGTGACTAGAAGGTAACAGGAGAATATAAAGGCAATGAGAATGTGACTATTTTACATTACGTGAGCTTGCTGCTTGATGCCGTGTCTTCAGAGCCTGGTCTTTGTTTAAATGGGTTCTTATTGGTCAGGAAAGTACCACAAACTGAGACTTTCATCTGAATGGGATGAAAAAGAGTGGAAGAATTGGAAGTGGAGTACGTATGCTGTTTGATGCCCATATGCCCCAAATAAGCATCCTTCATGCCACTAGTGGGCATTTGTCCATGTGTTTGGGGATCCCGGATTAGACGCTTTCTGGAACTCCTTTTCTAAGGCTTCCTAATCCTCCATGTACTAGATATAAATTTTCAAATTCTTAGAGAGCGAGACAGCCTTCCTGAATAATATGTGTTTTCATACAGTTTCCTGTGCCAAAACCCCACACACACTTAATATTTTTTAATGTAACCACTTGATGTTTTATTTCTGTTTGGAACTCTGAGTTAAGAGTCCATAAGTAGACACAAAGAATTGACAATGAATGTTCCCTGGGCTCACTATATCATGTGTTAGGTTAGGAGCTTGACTCTGACAGCTCTGAAGAAGCTATTTTTGCCAGTTACATAGGAAGAGCAGCTTATTCTCACACAGCTTAATTCCTGCCCTGCTCAAGGGTCCACAAGCCAGGAAACAGCAGAACAACAGAATTCATCGTGTGTCCGTGATTCAGTCCTTCTGTTATCCTCCCTGTACCATTATGGCTGCCTCCTAGACTAGATTACCACCTGCTGGACTAGATTTTCTCCCTCTCAAATTCCTGTGCCCCCAGCACTTCAGACTGTGAAGCACCTTCAAAGATGGGATTGTGCCTTAAAACAGAGATGGTAAGATCGGACCCGTCACATCTTAACAGTACCTTATATGGAGGGGGACTCTAACGTGCAGAACGAACCAGCGATGTTCATACATAGAGTAAAGATCATGCGAGGACATAGCAGGAAGGAGGGCATCTGCAAGCCCAGAAGCCGAAGAAGGAACCAAAGCTTTGCATTCCTCTGGCCTTGACCTTCCAGGCTCCAGAACTATGAGAGGTTGTTTCTGCTGCTCGGGGACGCTCTATCAGTGGTGTCTTGTTAGGACTGCCAGATACTTGGATAGAACATCTTGTGTTGGTAAATGAGCCCAGCCTGCTTCCCAGGACTTTCAGTTTTAATTGACCACTGAACTTAAATATGCACATGATAATGACACACAGACACACAAATATAGAGTGGTCATGACATTCCTTTTCTGAATCAAGGACGTCAACAATATAAAATAAATAGAACCAGCACCAACATGTTAAAAAAACAAGACTAGTTTAACAGCAAAACAACAGGAAGAATACAGTTTCAGAATAAAACTGACTTATAAGAGCTCCCCCCTCCCCCTCCACTTTAGATATGCTGGAAATTCCCTGCAGATAAAAGCAGGAATAAAGGGGGGGATATTTAAGAAGAACTATTGTTTAAGTAGGTGTGCAAAGAAAGGATTGTAATTGGAGAGTCTGCAAATCAAGTGGTGATGAAGGCTGAGACTGTGTAGGATGTGAGGGGCTGAGCACATTGAACCTATTTCAGAATCCACCTAGCGTTTTCAGTAACCGCCGTTGCTTCACTTCCTGTGCTTAAAATGTCTCTTACCAGACTAACGGCATTTTTGGTAACCTCTGTTAGCTACCCACCTACACACCGGCTCTGAATTCCTCTTATAGATAGATTGGTGTGACTGTCATTTGCAAAGGCACATAATTTGTTATTCACAGAGAATTGACTTCATATTTCTTTTAAATAATCATCGTAGGAAGATAGACAGAATAGAACTCTGAAAAGCCAACTATGGCAAGCCACTGCCTTAGGTGACAATGACAATTTATTGTAGTGTGTCCTCTCCTTAAATAGCTATACACTCTGTCTTTGTGGTTTTTTTCCCTAAGAAAATGAAACCATAAATGCATGATCTGCTACTTACAGCTTGGGACTCTTATAGTCGAGGAACCCCCCCCCCCGAAGAAAAACAAGTCTATTGTCCTTTTTAACTTGATAGTAGCACTTTACCAGAACCCAACATAGGTTGCAGTTGTTCATTCTAATGTTAATCAAATAAAAGAGATTAAAAGGCTGGTGAATTCCCCATGATGAGGAAAGCTGTTGCAGAACAAGGTGATTAAGCCGTTTATGGAGCTGAGTTAGTTTTGTTGCAAAATTCTGACATAAAGCTTTAGATTCTAGGAAAACAAATTGGGTAAATTACCTTACTTTTTCTGGCTCTCAGGGTTTCTGTTTCTCTCCTCTGTCAGTTCCTTATCAATTAAAAGTGCTAGTCACTGTGTCTAAGGACGCAGGATTCCTAACTCCCTTCTGAACATGGCTATGTACCATCCTGTGGACATGAATTTGGGAGGCAGCAGCCCTGAACTCACACTAGCAGCAGCATCTGAAAGGCAAGACCAGAGCCAAAAAGATCTGGAAGATTTCCTTTGTGTCCAGATGACCAGGGCTTTCCCATGGCCAACTACACAATGGAAGCAAGAAGGAATCGTGAGACCTTGGCTGCTGTGATGTAAAGTGAGTTAGAATCACTGCCCACTGCCATCTTCCAGGAGTTGGTGTCAGGCAGCCATTTGTTTTGTCACCCCCAAGAAAATACCTTCTGAAATGCAGAATGATATTAATAATGGGAATCTACATTGCTTCTCGCTTACCTCTAAGTACGCAATTGCAGTTGTATCCCAAAGTCTCTCTCCCTCTGAGACAGGGAGTTACCCAGATAAGGCTGCCAGACAAAATACAGGTTATCCAGCTAAGTGGAATTTTACAGGAACAATAGAACATTTTTAGTGTGAAGGTCCTGAGTGTCTTATATGACACACTTAGACTGAAAATTTGTGGTTTATCTGAGATTCAAATGTAACTGGGACTCCTGCACTTCTGTTTGCTGAAGCTGGAACCTCTCTACCCCAAACACTTCAACTGTGAACACAGCAGTGGGAAGCCTTGTAGAGTTAGTGCATACAGAAGCCAAGAGAAAGCTGAAGCCTTCCAAAGCGGCGTTCAAAATATTAACACGGATACACTTACTGTGTCAGAATTTGGCTCTCCTCTTCCTTCAGTTTCTCTGTGAAGCAAGCAAGGAAGGGGCTAGTTGTCTGAGAAAGCTGATGCTATTCAACAAGGCACTGGTTTTTAACAGTTTCTTGCCATGCCTTTTTGTTTGGAAATTCTTTGTGCTTGGCTTCTCAGATATCCCTTTATCTAGCAAGGCATAGTCAAGTTGTGTTTATTTCCAGAAATCCACCAATCAGAGGACACCTGTCTCTGTCCCAAAATAAAATACGTTTCTAATTCTATGATGTCAGTCATCCATCCCATAACAATACTTCCTCTGTTTATTAAAGGCATAGATCCTGATCTAATGTCACCTCCCTCTGGGCATTGTGCTCCCCCCACCCTCTTGTATTTTCATCAGCTGTCCATGGAGTGAGGAATGAGCATCTTTATCAAAGGATTTATTAGGTGAATGAAGTCAATTACACCAAAATGTAAGAGTGCTCATCTTTTGTAATAAAAATGCTCATATATATATATATATATATATATATATATATATATATATATATATCATGAATGAGCAGATTTGGAAGGATATCCAGGAGCATGTGAGCAAGGATTACTAACACTTATCATTACAGGACTTAAGGCTGACTTCTTTGTATTTATTTGGCTGTAATTTAACCTGTAGCCTCTTCT